CACCCTCGGGCAGCCATTTTGTCACCAGGTGCGGCGCAAAGGACTCCGGGAAGGCCGCTCCGGCCCGCGCTTGGCGCCCGACTAGTCGGTCCCGGGCAATGCATGCCGGGAAGAGCCGTCTGGTCCTCAAGGCGTCGCAGTGGAGGCGGGACCTGAGGGCGGAGCGAAGGAGGGTAAAAACCGGCCGGCGGATCCGCGGGCTTTTCCGTTCAGCTAGGCTTGGGCGGGCATCACAGAGACGTGGTGTAGCGGGCTCTCAGGAGTGAGGTTTCCGCTTGAGACGGGGGCGGGGGTGTGGGGGGCATAGCTTTCCGTGGCTAGGACCCCCTTCTTGGCACCAGAGATAATCTCAGTGGGGAGAGGGATCCCTTTTGAGGCTGTGTGCTCAACTGACACCTTGGAACAGTGGTTCTCAACCTTCCGAATGCCGCGACCCTTTAATACAGTTCCTCATGTTGTGGTGACCCCCAACCATAAAATTATTTTCGTGGCTACTTCATAACTGTAATGTTGCTACTGTTATGAATCGTCATGTAACTATCTGATATGCAGGATGTATTTTCATTGTTACAAATTGAACATAATGAAAGCATAGTGATTAATCACAAAAACAATATGGAATTATATGTTTTCCGATGGTCTTAGGCGACCCCTGTGAAAGGGTCGTTCGATCCCCAAAGGGGTCGCGACCCACAGGTTGAGAACCGCTGCCTTGGAACATGGGTCCCTAACTGAGTCTAGAGAGCATCTCTAGCCTGGATGAGGTGGTTCTGGGTTGATGACATGTCCCTGGATGGAGCTCCGTGGAGCTGGGGGTCCCATCTCAGAAGCAGGGTATTATTTGAGCTTTCTAAACCGGAGTCCCCCCGCTTATTATCAAGAGTGTCCGCCAAGCCCTGGCCAGCGTGGCTCAGTTGGTTGAGCGTCGTCCGGTGCCAGGAAAGGTGGTTGGTTCCATTGGCGTCAGGGCACACGCCCGGATTGCGCGCTGGAGCTCCGGTAGGGGGCGTGCAGGAGGCAGCCCATTGATGTTTCTCTCTCCCTTCCTCTCAAAACCAATAAAAATATTTTTAAATGTTTTAAATTTGATTTTAGAGAGAAAGGGAGAAAGAGAGAGAGAAAACATCGATATGATCAGCTGCCTCCAGCCACCACCACCCCCAACCAGGGATAGAGCCCGCTACCCGGGCATGTGCCCTGACTGGGAATGGAACCGGCGACCTTTTGGTACAGGGAAGGAGTCTCAACCAACAGAACCACACCGGCCAGAGCAATAAAATAGCTTAAAAACAAACACGTACACACACAAAAGTGTCCGCCAAGGGCCTGGTACCCAGCTTGTATTCCTGTCCATTGCTGAGGTCCAACAGGGGGAATTCGCTAAACTGGAGTCTCCCCTTCCATGGGGAGCAAACTGCAAGAAGGTTTTCGGAACAGGAAACACAAGGAGCGCGGTTGCAAGTGTGATCCCTGCCCTGATCTGCCCAGCACGGGGGCTCCGGGAGCACTGGACAAGCGTCTGCGGGCCTTGCACACAACTGGAGGCGGTCTCCCTCTAGGGCTAGGCCATTCGCCGCCTCAGGAGACGTCTTCAGTCAACTAATCAATCTGTCTGATTGGTTTGCGTGAGGAGCCCGGGTGGCTCACAAAGGAGACGGCCATGAGACGATCTGGGGACCCAGTTTAGAGAACTGGGGGGGGGAAATGATCGACCTGAGGTTGAGCCCATAGCGTCAGGCCAGGGCGAGTCTGGGATCCAACTTCAGGGAAAGGGTATGAACCGGGTGCTTGGTGGGTTGCTAAGGAGAGGTGGGAGACTACCGGCACTTGCGAGTGATTGGAGAAAGTAAAAAAAAAAAAGAAAAAGTAGCCAATGAAAGGAGTGCTGCCAGACTTGGGGTCCAATCAGTGAAGGGGAGTATTCTGGAACGTACCAATATGTTAACTAAGCGGGGGGCGTCCGTGAGAAAACAATCGAGAGATCAACAAGGTAAGCCCCGGGAATGGAGAACACTGGAACTATAGCCTCTTCCATGGCGCCTAAAAGCCAGGGGGTGGGGAACGTCCCTCGGGCTGCTGGTCCCGCTGGAGATGTGACCGAGAACTCCCCCCGCAGGTGCCTGGCGTGGTGCGCTCCGCGTGGTCACGTGAGCCGGTTCCAAGATGGCGGCAGGGGTGGCCGGGTGGGGGGTTGAAGCGGAGGAGTTCGAGGATGCGCCCGATGTGGAACCGCTGGAACCCACGCTTGGCAACATCATCGAGCAGCGCAGCCTTAAGTGGATCTTCGTCGGGGGCAAAGGTGGCGTTGGCAAGACCACCTGCAGGTAAGGAGGCCGCGGCGGGAGCCGGGGAGACCGGTGGGCTGGACCACTAGGCGAAGGGGGCGGCCCGGGACCGGCTTCTCCACGCCGAGCCGGGCACGGGAGGGAGGGGCGCCGGGGCCTTCCGGAGTGTGCTCTCCAGAAGTTACCTGGAGCGCGTGGACGGTGCCTCCCGGATTCAGGCCCGGCACCCTCTGAGTTGGACCATTTCCGTTAGGGCTCAGGGGCCGAATCACGCTGAACCCAGCGCACGGCGGCCGGGAGAGCCCTTAGGGGTCCCCGCCTGCGGGGCACACCGGAGGGAGCTCAGAGTCGGGGCCGGGGCACCGGGACAAACGATCCTCGTCTGGTGAAACGTGCTACTCTGTGCCCACGTGGGGGTGGGGTTGTGGGGAACGGAGCGAGAGAGGGTAGGTGATCAGACTATTCCAGTCAACCGGTAGGAGATGGAGGGGTTCCTGGGGCAAATTATCCTGAACAAATGGGACTGAACCATCCCGAGTGCAGTAGGAGGTTCCAGGGACCCCTTAGCTTAGGGTTGAGGGGGTGCAAGGGACCCCTGAGTTATGCTGGCTGGACAGCTGGACCTTGCCATGCTGTGCCCGCAAACAAGAAGCAGGCATCAGGCCAGACTGAACCCGGCCACTCGCCAGCTGGAGTGGTCTTAGCAAAGGTCTGAGAAGGGCCCTGCACAGAGACTGGGGACTGATCCCACAGTCACCCCTGTTCTCAGGGCCCCGGCCTCTGAGCCTCACATCTCCCCATGCAGACCCGGGGAGCAGGCCCTGACCCGTGCTCCCTACCTTTTGACCTTTTCCTTGCCCAGCTGCAGCCTAGCAGTCCAGCTATCCAAGGGGCGGGAGAGTGTTCTTATCATTTCTACGGACCCGGCCCACAACATCTCCGATGCATTTGACCAGAAGTTCTCCAAGGTGCCCACCAAGGTCAAAGGCTATGACAACCTCTTTGCCATGGTGAGTAGAGCAAGGCTCAGCTCCCCAGTCTGGCCACGGCCCATTCAGGCCTTTCCTGTGGACATCTTCCATCGGCCCATCTACATCCTTTGTCATTCCAGTCTCGCCCCTTCTTCAGCTACCCACAGGGAAACAACTGAGGAATGCTTGTGGAGCAAAAAGGAAACCAGAGCCCTGACCAGTTTGGCTCAGTGGATAGAGCGTCAGCCTGCGGACTCAAGGGTCCCAGGTTCGATTCCGGTCGGGGGCATGTGCCTTGGTTGCGGGCACATCCCCAGTGTGGGGTGTGCAGGACGCAGCTGATCGATGTTTCTAACTCTCTATCCCTCTCCCTTCCTCTCTGTAAAAAATCAATAAAATATATTTTTTTTTTAAAAAAAAAGGAAGCCAGAGCGACTGGAGCTTAGTGAGCAAGGGGAGGGAGCCATCAGAGAGGTCAGTCAGAGCCATGTGGTGTAGGACTTGGTAGGTCACTGGGAGCAGTTTGGCCTTGATTCCAAGTTTAATAGGGAGCTGTTCATTTTGAGCAGGGCAATGTCATAGCCTTGACAAGTTCCCTGTGGCTGCCATGCGGAGAATGGATTATAAGTTGAGGCTGGAAGTAAGGGCAGTGACCAGGCAAGAGATGAGGCAGCCAATACTAAGATGGAGGCAGAGTGTTGGGGGAGAAAGGTCCACAGGCCGACACTCTATCCACTGAGCCAAACCGTCTAGGGCAGTGGTTCTCAACCTTCCGAATGCCGCGACCCTTTAATACAGTTCCTCATGTTGTGGTGACCCCCAACCATAAAATTATTTTCGTTGCTACTTCATAACTGTAATTTTGCTACTGTTATGAATCGTCATGTAAATATCTGATATGCAGGATGTATTTTCATTGTTACAAATTGAACATAATGAAAGCATAGTGATTAATCACAAAAACAATATGTAATTATATATGTGTTTTCCGATGGTCTTAGGCAACCCCTGTGAAAGGGTTGTTCTACCCCCCCCCCCCAAGGGGCCGTGACCCACAGGTTGAGAACCGCTGGTGTAGGGCTAAATACATCTCTTGGTTGGCCCCTGAGCAGCTGGGATGAGGAAGACTAGCAGAGAAGCAGGTTTAGAAGGGACAAGTCAGGAATTCTATTTTGACCACAGTGAATCCACGGTGCCCACTGGACATCCAAGTGGGGACACAGGACAGTGGCTTAACTGTGTGAGCCTGGAGCTCAGAGGAAGTTGATACTGATTTGGGGGGTCACTGTCCCGAGGGTGGTATTTAAAGCTGTTTAGTAAAGGAGAATATGAGAGAACAGAGAGGCCCAGAGACAACCTGAGGGCGTGTCAGCATTTAGGGTCCAGAAGTGAAGGAGGCCAACAAGGAGCTACCGGGGAGGTGGGAGGAGAGACAGAGGTTATAGCCTCCTGAGCTCCAGGAGGACAAAGGAATTTGGGCAGAAAGAGGTTGTCTGCTCCAGC